TTTCCAGCTCTGGGCTGCTTCTAGCTGTCCTGTGACATGAAATGGCATCCCATAGCGTGTCACCTTTCCGTATTGGCTTTTTCACTCAGCCTCAGTCCCTGGAGAGCCATCCCAGCTGTGCGTATCAATAGCTTATTTCCTCATGTGGCTGAGGAGTATCGCTGACTGGTTGGTTAAGGGTTTGTCTAACAAGGGACGTCACAATTGTTTCCAGTTTTTGCCCAATATTAATAAAACTGAGATGACTACGTAGGTACCCTTTCTTATGTGGACATATGTTTTCATTTCTGTGGGATGAGTGTCCAAGACTGTCATTCCCGGGTGAAAGATAAGAATATGCTTAATTTTGTTTAAGATAAGGCGTTGCCAACTTGTTTTCCAGGGTGGTTATACCATTTTCTATTCTCGTCAGCAATGTGTGAGTAACCCAGTCTCTTCACATTCTTCCTAGCATTTGGTATTGTCGCTATTTTTTATTTTAATCATTCTTGTAGGTGTATAGTAATATCTCACCGTGCCTTTAATTTGTATTTCCCAAATAGCTAATGATGTTGCTATTCATGGGCTTTTTTCCTATTTGCCTGCTTTGATAAAATGTCTGTTCATATATGTGTCCATTTTTTATTCTACTATTTCAGTCTTTACTCTTTACTGGGTGTTTTTTTACTGTTGAGTTTTGAGGATTTAAAAATATATTTTAAATTTAACTTTAAACACATGGCCATAAAAGCAAAAGATAAATTGGTCCTCATCAAGATTTAAAACATTTGCTTTTTCCAAGACCCTGTTACTAGGATGAAAGGATAAACTACTGATAGGAAATAATTGGAGGACCACAAATTCAACCAAGAACTAGGAACTAGTCCTTGCTCTAGGTCCCACAGATTTTCCCCTTTGTTTTTGACTAAAAATTGTAGTTTTACATCTAAGTGCTTGACACATTTTGATTTTATTTTTGAAAATACCTCTTTGTATACCTTCAGAAATACTTGTAAAAATATCTTGGATTAATTCATTTAGATGCAGAATGGGAAAGGCTGAGCTGCGGATGCAGTGAAGTCGGTTTTCCTAACCCCCCAAAGATGACACACTTTTCCTCAGAGGACGTCACAGGCTAGAAGATACAAATTATAACACAGGGAAGAAGCGTGTCTAGGATGGAGGGTGGGTGATAGCTAGTGTTCTTTCTAGAGGGTACCAGGTGTTCTGAGGTGATTAAGAGACAGGGAGATTTTATATACATACGATTGTCATACTTTTCGCTTCAGATTCATTGGTCTGCTTGTCGGCTGCACTATTTTGAAAGCTCACCTTGGAGTCTAGATGGATTTTCCTCCTAGGCGGTGCCCGAGGATCTGAAGGAAGGGGGAGCAAGGGGGAGAGAATGGGCACTCGGCAGGGTTGGTAGGTGGACTTGGTGGCAGAGTATAGTTTTGCTCCGTTCTCTCCTCTTCTTGTATTGGCTGTAGTGCACAAACACGGGCCGTTAGGGGCTTTCATAGGTATATAATGGAAGGGACAGAAATAAAAGTCACTTCTTTTTAAATAATTTTTAAATTTATTGATTTTAGAGACAGAAGAAGGAAGTAGGGAGGAGGAGAGAGAAAGAGAGAGAGAGATTGATTTGTTGTTCCACTTATTTATGCATTCATCGGTTGCTTCTTGTATGTGCCCTGACCAGGGATTGAACCTGCAACCTTGGTGTGTTGGGATGATGCTCTAACCAACTGAGCTACCCAGCCAGGGCCTAGAAGTCATTTCAGTATCAGAGGACTCATCTAGATATTTTCTTATAATTAGTAAACAGGGTCAGTAGGGATTTCCTCCAATTGAATCTTATCTGTAATATCATATACTGTTACTGAAATCCATATTTTCTTCAAACTGGAGCATTTGATCTAGAGGATTTTAGAAGATTTCTATAGAATCAAGTCAGGAGACACATTGGATGAGCAGAGGAAATGAAGTACCCAGATGCAGACAAACCATTATCCAATGCCCAGGCCGCATTTTCCCTTTAGGTTAAACCATTTATTTTCTTTTGATTTCCTTCAATTATAGTATTTTAATTAAATTACTCTCTGAAACATGCATAGATTTTCATACCCCCTTTGAACTATAATATGAAATGACCCACATATATCAAGTAAAGACTTGACCTGTAAAAAACAGAAATAATATGGCTCTTAATGATAGCTTCTTATGTCTATAACCTGGAATCTACTCACCTGATACATCATGAGAAAGGTACTTGAATTAGGGGTTCTTGTATAAAAATCACCTATTTTGATATAATATGCGGTAAAATGGTTGGTGTAGGCTTTCAGCAACCCCGTTGCTGCGCTTACGTTAACTTTGTGGCCAAAGCTGATAATACCCATTTTGGGCCGTTGAGCTTTTATTGGGAAAAATAGAAGGCAGCAAGAAAAGGAAATGACCAGCTATGAGATGGAGTGACCTCCAAAGAAGCCACAGAGGTGAGTCTCGAGGAGCTGAGCAGGGACGAGGACAGGTCATCTTGGACACCACTTGTCCTTGTGGGCGCCAAGAGTCGGAGCCAACTTGACGACGTGTAACACACACACACACAGAGAGATTTCACTCTCTGGATAAAAGACATGATAGTGACCCACAGACATTAAGGAGGGACTGCAGTGCACCCTTTAGAAAAGATGATGTAGTGGACTGCCCCCCGTTTTAGAGATAAAAGCTCAAGACCCAGAGAGACTTCCTATTGTACTTCAGCTATTATAAACACATGGTTTTCTCACATGCGAACGTCTCTAAAGCCAGTATGTTTTGCACAATGGCATCTTACAGTGCCTTTGGCCAGGTGGCTGTCGTGATAGAGTTGCTTGGGATCATGAGCTTGGCTGCTGTTGGACGGTTGCATGAACTTGGTGGCTGTCCTGGGCAACTGTGACTTCATGTTTCAGTCAGCAAACTGCCTAAGGACCCTCTGAGTAAAGAGTCTTGGCTGCCGTCTAAAGGCTTGTGGTAGCTCCTTCTAGGGAGCGGTTTAAAGCGGCAGCATCACAACCCGCTGGGCAGGGGCCGGTGGCTTGGGAAAGAGTCCTTCAGGTAACCGGGAGGCATTCTTTGGAGGAACACCCGGCACAGCGGGTAACAGTGCTTGGGAAAGTTCGTGCATCAACGACTCTGAGTGAAATATTGATTCCGAAAAATTGACGGTGACTCGTCCATGTTTTTATTTTTTATACTGCTGATATGTGAATAATTTATGTCTAAACAAGCTTAAAAGAACTCCTTTAATACACATACAATAAAAATTCTGAACGGTAAGGGAATATTACGTCACAGTTTGACAATTTTTTTTGTAGTGCAACAAACTTTCTTCTAAACTCATAAATAGAATCAGTTCTGATTCATTCTTATTTCTTCATCTGTTTTCCTATAAGCCAAGTTATTATCCATTCATACGTGCTCTGAAGTAAAAAAAACCCCAAAATGTTCCAATTTTGATGAAGAAATCTAATCTTTATTTCTATGATGTTAGCACAATATACTCACACAATAGCTTTGATCTGTACTTAACAAAATACATTATAGCACTGTACAAACTTTATCAGTTTGGAAAACATTGCGTAACATTTTATTAAACACAATACTTTATATATATATTATATATATTTTCATAATTTTATTTACTTTAAAAAGATAATTAACTCTCTTTATTCAATACTTGGTTTTATCAGTAAAGCACAGCCTAACACAGGAAAAAGTGCTCTCGTTAGCAAATAAGATCAATAGAACCCTAAGAAGAGATACCACCTATTAGTCTCATTTAGTTTAAATTAAGGTACCAGTGGAATGTAAACAAATTTTTTGTAATTATTTTTTTTACAAAAGATGTGTTATCAAATATACATGCAGAGGTCTGAGTTCTAGCGACTATTGTTTTATTTCCTTAACAATGTGGTACAATTTAAGTCTTTAAAAACTGTAGCCTTTGGCACTTTGAGTAGAAAAAGAATATATCAATATTTATGTAAAGGAAAAAAAAAGTCAATGACCAGAGAAGTACTTTAAAATCTTTTGCTAAGAAGTAGGAAAGATTAGGAAATATCACACTGCGCCTGAAATGCTGCAGCTTTATTGTTTTCTTCAGAGTACTAAAACCAGCCCTCCTTTCTCTCTGGGAACGGCCAGAGCCGGCGGCGTGTCAGGACGGTGGTGTCCTGGGAAGCGGTGACGGCGGCATTTTCGTCCCGCTCGCATCTCTGAGAAGGAAATTGTCACAAGGGATGTGGTTGAACCTGTGTTTTATTGCCAGTTTTCAATTCTGCTGGTTTCAACTAAATCCCTAATGCTGGAGGAGGTTGGTTGCTCTAGAAAGCTCTGCCCCTTCCCTGCATGAGTGATAATGACGGGGTGTCTCACCTCTAAACAACGCCTTCTGTTCTCTCTGAAAACTAAACCGAGATCTGGATCGACCGGCGGCCCGGTGACCTTTGATCCCCTTGGCAACCCTCCGGTGTAGATCAGAATTCTAAGTAACGGGGTAGGAAAGGTCTCGTCTAAATTCCAAGAACCGAATACTTCTTTATAATTAAAATAAATTTTTAAGTTGGAAACATCTCAAAATGCTTTGTTTTCATCTTCTTATGGATCATACTGTTTCCTTTGATTTAGGCTGAAAGCTTCATTTGGGATAGATAGCAAAGACTGTTGTTTGCAAACAAAGCACTAAAACTGTGTCTATTTAGATATTTTGAGGAAATACATTCTTTGTTCTGTGAGATACTTTTATTATCAATTTGCATATTTTTCAGATTCTTCCTGTTGGTGTCCAGTGAACTAGGTAAAACCTACCTATGGTGGCTCTAATTTCCTGGTTATCAGAATGTCAAAAAAAGTTAACAATCTGGAACTAAAGGAAATTTTTGGATTACTTGTTAAAATAGCAACTAAACAAGCTGGCGATGTAACCCACCATGTCAAGTTTTGGTTCACATTTCTTGTTTATAAATTCACAGCGATACATTTTGTGCAAGGAATATTGACTATTATTTTCACGTTAAAAATAGAAGAACATATCTATAACATCAAAAAAATTTGAAAATCCATAAATAAAGTAGAAGCCATAAAATACAAAATAGGATCACAACCATTTCAAACGATTCTCTAAAACAATCTAGTTTTTAAGTTATGCAAATTGACTCACTAAAAACCAGATTCTTTATTAGCGGTACCTATACTTAAATGAAAAGTAAGCAGGAAAAAAAACAAAACTATGCAGAAATGCACTAGCGATTCCCATTTATTGAAAATATTCCTACACGATTGCTGTTGCTGAAGAAAGCATCCTTTTGGGGAGAAAATAAAATGCACAAAACCTTTTCAGGTTTGGATTGCAACAGAACCACTACGGGGAAGCTGTGGGGTGCCCTATTCTAACACGAAGCAGCCAGCGTCATCTGAACACAGCAGCATTTCTTTGACAAGGGATTGCACACACCACTAGTTCACAGCTAGACAGACCTGGAGCGTGTACACGGGAGATGAACTATGCGACCCAGCACCGCCCGCGCGGGGCGCCAGGTGCAGATTCTGCAGAACAGATATATAAAACCGCATGGCCTCTGCCGTGGGGACCCCTGGATCCTCACGGCGAATTAAAAAGGAAAATCCCTAACGTTGGCACATTCAGGAAGTAAAGGAGTATACATGGAAGGGAACCCCTGTCTTTCGAGATTGCCCTCGGCCAACCTTTGAGTGTAAAGACCGTCTTGCGAGGAGTCACCCCGTTGTCACATTAGTTGGGTTCTTGCGTTGTGCTTTTCCCTCCCCTCGATGTGAAATGTACAAGCTTGATGGTCGCAGTTCTCAAGAGTCGTTGAGTCCCGGGCTGACGGTGGATGATCTCGTTGGATAAGAGGTTTCCCCAATTTGTTGGAACAGGACACAAGGAGAATCAACTCATGGTCTTTTTTTTTGGGGGGGGGGGCACCCAAACGATTGACTGGACATTGCTCAATCCTTATAAGCCCGTGTGGGGGAGGTCCCCTTGTAGAAGATATTCCTAGTGTTTTCGGGGCTGTTGCTTCTCTCGGGGATCAAGATGATGTTGCCTTTCCTGCGAAGTGTGGAGTCGCGCGAAGAGGAGACCGACAGCGTCTCGGAGCCCAGCTCGCTGCCCTCCACCGGGGTGACGCGGATGGTGGCGATGCCGTGGTGGTGGTGGTGCTCGCTGCCCTCGATGTTGCCCCTCTTGCGGTCTCCGGAGCCAAAGCCGTCCTTCAGGGACTCGCAGCTCTCCGAGTCCCTGTTGAGGTCGTTGAGCTCGTAGGTCTGGCGCAGGCTGCCCTTCTCGGGGGCTTTCCACTTCCAGGAGCCGCTGCCCTCGCCCTCCGTGGACGGGATCTGGATGACGGGCCTGTTGTTCTCCGGGTGGGCCTCCACGCGGACGATGCCGCCGGGCTCGTGGTCGGTCAGGGCCTTGTAGCGGATGGAGCCGGTGCAGGAGACGGCGCTGCCCTCGGTGTTCTTGGGGCTGCCCTGCAGGACGCCCTGCTGCTTGGACATGGCGATGACCTGCATGATGCGGGGCTGGCTGTTGCTCCGGTTGCACGCCACGGTCTTCTCCGCCGCCTTCAGCCACTTGGCCCGAGCCGAGCTGCCCTTGGGGGAGGCGCCCACGGTCTCCTGGGTCTCCTCGGGGATGTGCACTAACTGCGAGGAGCCAGGGCGCGGCTGGATGGACACCCTGGCGCCCCCGGGCATGTTGTTGTTGCAGCTGGGGACAGTGCCCGGCTGCAGCTTGAGGTACTGGCCGCCGGGGCCGTGGGGGTCTCCGTTCACGCCCACCCGGGACGGCTCCGAGCTGGCCCTCATTTCTATGGACTGGGGCGGTGACTGTCCGGGCTCAGTCTCTATGACTTGCAGCGACAGCTTCCGGCTTTCGTTCTTGTTCTTCCACTGGGTGAGGAGCTGCTTGGACCGGGCCGAGTCCATGGAGGCGTGGATGCTGGCGTTTCGGCGGACGGGGTCCTCCACCGATGGGGTGCTGGCCCGGGGCAGGGTGTTGCTGAACGTCACCATGTTCTCCTTGCCCATGGGGCTGCGGGGGGTGATGATTTCCACGTCGGCGTTGGCCCTCTTGAGGTTGGTCAGCGAGCTGGCGTCCCGCGGGTTTCGGGCGAGGATGCCTTCGGTGTGAGCGATTCCGTCGCTGCTGCTGCTGTTCTTAGCGGCCAGCACCCGGCTGGGGTCCTGGCTGAGGTCCGACAGGGACCGCAGGGCCTCTCGGTGCTGGAACAGGCTCTCGTCGCTGGGCAGGAAATTCCCCACTGCATACAGGCCCTGGCGTGGAGGACAGACCATGAATACGCAGGCTGGACACCTGCTTGCTCGACCCCGGTCCCACCGAGAGGACCCTGTGCCCCCTCCCGCTCCACCCCCATGAAGAAGGTATGAGCTTGCTAAACACCCCTGGTGAATTCAAATAACAAGACCCTGACAACTGCCATGACTGGGGAAATAGTTTGTAAGTTATATCACACGCCACCATCCTAACTGTTCGGAAATACAGAGCCTGTGAGTTTTTTTTATTATTAGTTGGCTTTTCTCTCCTTTCTCCATCCCACTGGATGTTTTTGCACATTTACTCCTCTGAATGCTTTGAAAAGAAAAGTCAGACAATGCGAGATATAGGAACATCCTTCTGCTTTTCAAAGCAATTCAGTTTTCTGGGTTTTGGACTCTCTTGTTGAGTGACACCTCAGGGTTTCCATCATTCCTTCGGGTGGGTGGCAGAAGAAGCGTGGAAAACAGAGAAACAACAAATCACTCACAAAACATGCTATCAGGTTTTGCAACAAGGTCAGATACATATGTCGTTACTACTCCCATGCAGTACAGCCCTGCGCGTTCAGCTTTGTACGGCGTGTTCTCAGGACACGGGGCGGAAACCGTCACTGGATTGGGACCCCATGTTCTCCCCTGATCTCAGCTTGCTCTTAGGCAGGGAAATAATATTTGATCAATGTAGTGCTATTGCCCTACCTTTGGGCCAAATTTTTAAAATCTTGTCTTCACGTCCAGGCGATCAGCTTTTTGTTTTTGATCGGAGGGATACCATTTTGGAAAAGGCTAAAATTCAGATCCAGAGGTTCTACCCTTCCCACAAAGAGGATCCAGTCCCTGCTGCGTTTTCTGTTTTTGAGTTGCTCCGTTTAGAGACAAGGGCAGAGCCCCATTGGCGAGCTAAGTTCAGTAGATGGTAGCCCGTGTGCCCTTTTCCAACCCGCCCGAAAGAATCCCTTGGACTTAGTATTTATAGAGCTGCCTAATAGTTTACAGTGGCGTAGGCTTAGAGCTGACAAATCTCCCATTTCCAGGCAGAGAGTGCAAACAGGGATGGGAGAAAGTCAAACCTCTGCTTCTCCAACTGCTCTCATTCCTGGTTCAAATCTTCTAAACAATAACTATTTACACTCTTGCTGCCAGAGCGCCCAGGATAAGCAGTCTCCACTTAACGTTCCATTAATAATTGTATTTGCATTTGTAAGTTTGGGAAAATAACTTCACCAGACTGCAAGCAACCTCTGCCTGTACAAGGTGGGGCAAAAGTAGTTTATAGTAGTTTGTCTGGAAAATAATACAATAATTAATAAGTCATAATACAAAAATGAACTCTGTTTCCCAAACAGCTGTAAACCTATGTCTGCCTACCCCTGTATTTTTATTAGCCTTTACACTGTAAATTCCTCGAGGACGTATCTTATTTCTCACCCTTTTGACTGTCAGCATCGTCCCTGGCACAGATCGGGTATTGTATAAATGTAAAGTGAATGAATCAAACGGGCAGCAGAGGCCGGGCTTGCGCGTGGAGCCCTGTTAAGGCGCCTGTACTGGTGGGCTCTGTTGCATCCAGGCGCTGCGTCTGTGTTGTGGGGCGAGTTACGTGATCTTCCGCTAAACCTTCGCCTTCCCTCAGGTTCACTTTGTTCATCTGTAAAATTATACTCATCCCTGGATCTTTTGGGGGATGCTAAGATAAAATGCAATAATCCCTCTAAAATCACAGTTTCTGGCCCATGGTAAGGGTTTAATAAGGTATTTTACTGAAAGCAGGTATGTGTTTCCGCTTAGAACAGAGATGCAGCCAGAGATTTTCTCATGAATAGCAATTAGTTTTCGGTAAATTATTACAGTGCAAAATAGACTATGCATGTTTTCCACTTTACACTGGGGTTTATCAAAAATAACGGTAAATTATTTACCAAGTACAGAGCAATTCCTCCTCCGATTAAAAAGCCACAATAGACGTCAACGGGGTGGTTCTTGTACTGGGTTATCCGTGTCAGCCCGCAGATGATGCCGCAGATGATGAACGCGAAGACCAAGAGCGGCTTCAGGAGCTTGGAGGAGTCCGTCAGGGTGGAATTGAAGTACATCTTGTTGCAGATGGAAGAGACAGGTTGAGTATGTTAGAAGGTCCTTCTACTATTAAGTTATCATCAAATAAACAGTTGAACTCAGAAGCCTAACTGATACACTCCATGAGAACTTTACTGTTCCATTCCCGTGGCATCTCTCCTTTCTCTACCCGAGAGGAAGGAATTGCAAGACAGAGCTCATCAAATAAGTAACATCATTTAATTGCACGGGAGTGTAAAAAAATGGAAGCAGCACGATCAGCCAGATAACTGTTTAGTCTCCGTGCTACCTGTCACAATTTCAGCTCGTTTTTCTCACATGAGAGCTAACGAACTATTGTATTGATCAGACATGATGACCCCTCATTGTATGGCATTCCTCAAATTTACACTGCCTTAGCACTCACATCATGGAAGTACTAAAACTAAAGCTTGCACACGTGTGTATGTGTGCACTTAATGCAATTCCTTCAGTTTCAGAATTTATAACATCCACGTGGCTCACAATACCCTCTCGGGAAGCATGATACTACGTGAAGGGGATACCAGGCTAAAGAAGTGCACGACTGTGTAGAAAAATTCTGTTACTAGCAGTGTTTGCAGTGGCACCCGCTTCCTCCTTTCGAAGCCTGCTCGGAAGGACCGCTGTGCTCGGGCTTACCGTTCTGTTATCACGCGGCTACATGAGGGGGTCGGGAGGAGGCAAGCCCCGTTCCCGACTTTCTCTAGCGCACGGGCTGACGAGAAGGACCCCGTTACTCACCGAAACGTACACAGCGGCAAAGGCAGCGAGGGTCGCATGCTGAGAAGGGAATGATTTTCTGCCAAAGGAAGACAGTCAAATTATGCCCCTATTTCAGACACGCCGCCAACAGTCATCTTAGGAACACCGCAAGGCTAAAATCTCCAGTGCGAATGCCACAAGGCAGCAGGCGATAACTAACTTCTGGTTTGTTCTCTGGAGAATTAGCTGAACGATGGGGTAAAGCGCGCTCACCACGGTTAGTGTTAAAGACCAGGAGCGATGCCCTTCCCCTTAGAAAACGCCAGCCTTGTCAGGCATGCCTTCCTCATGCCACGGGAGTGGTTGCTGAAGGCAGAAACAGGCCAGAAGACGTTCTAACTGTTCTTTGGTGTTAGAATCATGCCAGTTTAGAGTAAAAGGTCATGAAACTAGGATTTTAAAATCTTTCGATTTTGTCTATGCTCCTAAATATATGACTCCATTTACATAAAATTTTAAGACAAAATTATTTTCTCACAGCAATGGGTCTAAATATGTTTTTCACACTCTATCAAGCATAAGAAAAATCTAATCTTAGCAAAATGTTTTTTTCTGTGTATTCTACTGTAAAATATTATCTCAAGAATCACAGAGCTTATTTAGTTAAATAATTTAAGAAGCAAGGAGAGAGAGGAACTCAGGATAGTGGGAGAGACACTGAAAAAGGCAGACAAAAGAAGAACAGAGATTTCTTTTAATGGATAAAAAATGGAAAAATAAAATTTAATTATAGTAATGTTTGGTACCCAATAAAAAAGATTACCATTCAGTAAAGACAAGATAATGGAAAAGGACTGAGAAAGAATAGAGGACATAGATTATAAATGTAGCTTCAGAATTATTGAATGGACCACGAGAACTTGAATGTGTATAATTACATAGTATCAGGCTCTGATTTTCTTCAAGTGTACTTATTAATTTAATTTTGACTCAAATTGATCTTTGGGGAGTCACTGATGACAAATGAATTCTTGTAACAATAATTTATTGCCCTTCGTCCTTCTATAATTTATCTTGAATTTCTAAGATACTTCTTGAGATACAAGTTTATCTTCTACTTTATTGATTGAAAAAAAATTCATGCATTGGCAGTTTCCTGAGTTCTTCTGTCTCCTAGTTTTTGAAATGCAAAGTTAGAAGCTATAGGGACCTTCTGGGTTTATTCACAGAAGGCGCATGAGATCTTGGATGTTATCCCTTTTAAAACTCTACCAGAAGGAAAAATTCACATGATTTTTAAAAAATAAAACATATAATGGAGATGTAAATATCACAGATATTTAGTTTTCCACTTAAGTCAATACAGGGTACATACTGACTGTAAGCCATGACTAACTGTAAATATCCTCAGATAAGCCCATGGTGGGAACCTAAAACCGTAAGGATTATAGTGTGGATCACAAAACACAAGAACGTTTGGTGATAGGAAGACTAGTGGCAAAATGTGAGGCTGAAATTTGGAGACAGAGAGGAAGATTTGGAATGAGTCACCCGTGGTATACTTACTAAAGAGAGTACTGAATTGAAAAGGAAAACAAAACCAAACTCCTTATGGCCGAAGAATGGCCGCCCAAGGGGACGCCTCCGGCTGTCAACATACAACACGAGCCCTGAGACTGAATGGCCCTAAACTTCCGTGTCGAACCTGCCACTGTTGATCACCGTGAGGTCGGATCCTGAGCAGATGTCCTCCACGATGTAGGAGTTTTCCTTGCAGGACACGTTCAGGGAGGTGTAGTTGGGCTTGCACACCGTCAGGAAGTAGGGCGCTTGGTACCCAGTGCACAGCTGGATGATGTCCGTGATGAGGGCCGTGGAGCAGAGTCCAAACACGTGCACACCTGCGAGCAAGAGGGCGGGGCGGTTACCACGCGAGGGCCCGGTGCGGCCGCCCCGCCCCCCACCAGCCCCGCTCGTCCCACGCCCACAGGACGGCCCTCCAACCTGCTGGGGTCCTCGTCTCTGAGTTTACTTCCACTAGGTACTGTAGAAAACCCCCAAACTTCTAAACAGATACCTGAGTCCAATAGAGTGGCAACGAGTATCTTCAAAGCGGTAGTTTCAGGCATTTTGGTCAGTTTGGTTAAATGAGGCCAGCTCTCTATATTAACCATAAGTCACTTGTCAAACACCTGGAACATGTCAAGGTGACCAAATGCATGAAATGTGGGGAAGGCAGCAAAGTGAAAGATAATTTTACGATGCTCAGCCTGGTTGAGCGGCCAGGAGTCTCTGACTCTGATCGCGGGCGCCAAACCCCGCAGGACTGGCTCGCGCTCCCCGCAAGCTGCAGTCGCACAGGAATGCTGATCAAAGCAGAGAAGAGGGCGGGGCCCTGTCGTGGAAACAGTAACGACATCGGGGCACAGGGCCGGCAGGGGCGGGGCGGGGGGGAGGGGGCCTTCCCGCACATCTGCAATTCAGAGATGATGTTCTTGCATCTCCTGGTTGGAATTCCATCTTTCTTTCGTCTCTTAGGGCCAGACTCAAAGCACAAGCTCACAAACCCCGAGGTGCACACACGCACTCAGGCCCCATTCCCGCTGCAAGTCCCTTGCTCGGCTCACTCCCTGGGCGCCTGGCTCCGCACATTTGGCAGGATCTGAACCCGCCTGCCTCCTCTACACGGCTCGACACCCTCGATTCACGCTGACGTGCCAGCCCGGGTTCTGACTCATGACGGGAGAGGCACCTGGTGGTTCATTAGTGGGCGCTTCCAGCCCGGCATCGCCCGCCTGCACGTGGCCCTGCTTTGAATGTTCCTTCTCCGCTTGTTGTCCCCGAGCAACCACTCTACCGAGCCCTTCTCCACACACTCCCCTGGGATTCTGGACACAGGGCCTCCGTGTCTGCATCCCTGTTCCTAGCAGCATGCAAGGTCTTAGAGAGGAGTATGGGAAAGGGGGAAACACCCCTGTCATTACCTTTGGAGGGGGACACCCTCCAGCCTCACGGGGGACGGGCTCGTTGGCTCCGGGACCCGTTCTCTAGAGTGAGGTGGACCGTCCTCACGGTCGGAGGCTTTTCAGAGAGGTGGTGTGCCCCTTCCCCATCGCATTTTGCTTCATTAGGGAAAACTGCCCCTCAGGTCAGCTCTCTGTCCTGAAGGTTAATTTCCTTGCCTCAGTTCGTGACCTGCCAAGGGGCTGCTTCTTGTCTTACCGTCTTGCTGTGCTGTGCTTAGCGAGCAGAGTCTAGGCCATGATTTAGACCCGACTTTGCCTCTGGTGGAGAGATGGTTGTATTTAATTGCCTACTAGGCACTGGGTGAAACTACACTTCCCTTGGAGATAGAGGTGACAGATGAAATACCTTTTCACTGACTTATTGGGAAGGAATGGAGAACACCCATGCTAGTATATGCTCTGGGCTTCTCAGCTCACTTAAAAAACCAGGCCTGTGACTGTAAGCACATTAAGATGTTTCCATGCCAACCAGAAGAGGCAACAGTTTAGATGCTGGTTAGCTTCAGATGCTGGTTAGCAGGTCTGCGATTTTCTACAGCTCCCATAAAATATGGGAGGGAAACTGATCGGGTATAACCGAGGAGAAATAGCCATGATGTGGTACTGTATAGTGACATTTTATGTGCGGTAATTTCTGGATGAAAACGTTCCAGGACAACTGAAATGGAACCATGGACTAAAGTCATCTCTGAAGAGTTATCCATTCACGCTGGCCTGCTGACATTTATTCTCCACTTTAAAAAATGAACACAGGTCCAATGAAACCATTTTAAAGTGGATTTATGCTTCCACTAGAGCTACTGAAATGCACGGCACGTCGGCTCTCAAAACAAGGACTATAACCGCAAATAACACATTTCAGCTACAACACGCAGTTTGGGGGTAGTAGCAGTTGTGTGTGTGTGTGTGTGTGTGTGTGTGTGTGTGTGTGTTTTGTATAAAGTAAAACTCATCATGTACCTGAAATTGCACATCTAAATTATAGCTTTAAAGACTTAATATCTGTAATTAAACATAACATTTCTATTTGAAAAACACATTTCCTTTCTTTGTGGGTCCCACACCCACCCACGAATCTGACGGCTCTTCGAAGGAAAGAGTTGAAGTTGCAGCCTCCAGCATTGATGTTGGGCTCCAGTCCGACCCCGTTTCTCCTTTTGGACAAGCAACAGTAGAGGATTCCTTCCCCTACCATGATCTGCAAAGACAAGAGGGTTCACAATGGACTCAATGGCTTCAAATGAGTCATGAGTTACCTCTTCACACGCTGCCAGTTCGACGAGGTAAAGATGGGTTTCCTTAACAGCATCAGAGAGGCGGTCCGTTTCTCCTCAGCAGACAGAGCAGTGGAGAGAGCATGGGTTGGATCTTCGGAGCCCCTACCCCCGGTCAAGGGCACGATGGCACCAGGGGTTTTGACGTGGTGGCAGCGGCCAGTCTCTGACCCTGTGCCTCTCTGGTCCATCCTGTACTGGAGCCACTACCCGCATGTGCCCACCAAGCACTTGAAATTCAGCTGCTACAGTTAAGGAGCTAAATTTTTACTTCCAGTTCATGGTATTCAATTATTTAAGATTTAAGTCAATCTAGGTTTCGAATGAAGTAGCCCCATGTGGCCAGTCACTATCTTATCGGGGAGAGTCTCACGCAAGAGCCAAGGCGAGCGGGGACTGGAGCATTCAGGGCGATGGAAATGGAATCACCAACAGGGCGGGAGCCATTTCTGAAGGGCTCCCTGTTCACACTGGGTATCAGCCGAAGAGAAAACGGTTTGCCCTGGACAGAGAACCGGACTGCAGTGTCAGAAAGGCCGTCTTCAGCTAGGGGACCGTGAACTTGCTGTAGAATCCTATGAGAGAGGATGCCAGGGATGGGGGGCACCCAATGTAGTTAGGCCTAAATGAAATTATGTCCCCTGGCTTGTGGTTCCCTTAGGGCCTGTCCTTCCCTCTGGCACAGACTGATTAAAGGGCAGGTCAGCCGTCCACCTGATTCTCTCTCTGTAACCACGCCCCTCCGAGAGGGGCCCGGCTCTTCTGCCTTTCACCCCCGCTGTCTGGCCCGGTGCTGGGCACTGTGGGATTTGGACCCATCACTGTCACCGTGGGGTTATCATTGGCTGATTGCCAGGGGCGTTCAGGCTGTGAGTCACTCTGTGTAAAAGAAGCCAGTCTGAAATTGTGAATTTTATTTATGCAAACGATCTCAAATATTTGGGATTCCTGTGCTAGGGGAGATTGTTGTGAAATTAGAATTGATTTGTATGGACATGTGGAAAGGGGAAAAGTAGGGTTACACAGGATGCTGGCAGTCCCTTCGGTACATGTGGCCACGCCACTTGAAAGATTATAACCATGATGAGGGCCGAGACAGATTTGCCAGGGAAAGCTCCCCAGGCCTCAGTACTAGCTTAGCATTTCTCTTATGAAGTATTTAAAATGATAGGCTTTTAAAAACTCATGACAGGAATCCTATGACCTTCTGCTTCAAATATCCCACCTGCTGCATTTAGCTCTGTAGGTCGCATGGTATATGGACAATGGTAAAGAACTGTAATTTGTATGAAGAATAATTTTCTTAATGAAACTCTACCAGTAACCATACATGTGTGAAAATCATGTGGCATGCATGATAACATTTTAAGATCAATTGGAGAGTAATGAAAAGGATTTTTTTTTTCCAAATCATGGAACATGGAGTTAATTATATGTCTTGAAAAACACCCTACATTATCACTTTCAGTTGGGCATGGAAACACAGTAGGTTCTATATTTGGCCTGACGCACACATAGAAGAGCATAATGTTGTCCCAAGTTGATCGTTCTAAGGAAATTAGCCACTCATTCCTGAAATGCATTGCTGTGTGGCTGTATGGCTAGAAGAGATTGAGTTCCTCTCCACATCCTCCATAACAGCGCTGTGAATAATTTTGTTTCTTTTTTTCTTAATTAACTATGCTTCCTTTAGTTAGTTAGTTAATTAATTAATTATTTATTTTTGCTTCCTTCTCATCAGTGAATGCTACCTTATATAAGAATTTATGTGTCCCGCGCCATGGGGAAAACGTGTCTTACAACCAACACAGCGGCCGTTATCTCAGATGACCTTGAGATTTCAGGAACTCACTATGAGTTGCTCAATATGCTGAAAACGGTTATGCCGACAGAGCGCTCTCACACTACCTGGCTTGACTCTAGGCAGAGGGTTTACGGGTCGGTACTTTGACAGCGCCCGAGTGCCCCTCTCACTAAGGGCACGTCACTTTCCTCCCCACACTTCTATTCTTTTAACCTTGATCACCAGGTCTCTGCACGCATTTTTGGAATGACGTGACTTGGTTTAAGGACAGCCTCCCCTCAGGGGAAGGGCAGATGCTCCCTGGCATATTTCTGGATGTGCCCGCTGTCCCCTCTCCTCCCTCACAACGGCGCGCTGTTCCCCTGAGCATGGGTTCCAGGGGGCACGTGACGGGCCAACACCTTGTGGCTGTTGTCAGTTGTAGGAAGAAACAATTTATGGCAAGTGTCTTTCTACAAGATTCTGTCTATGTGGTACACAAACCCACAAAGAAACAGTATAATTTTTTTTGCGCGTCTGATATCTTGAACCAGCTCTGGGAAAGAGAGTCCACAGGGACTCGCCCTTGGGGCAGATGAAACTGGGCACCGAACGACTTCTTATTACTTGGGCACTGCGTGGGGGGGTGGGTGCCGCCGGTGGGAGGTCCCAGCACAGAAAGTCTTTCTTGTGAACACACAGAAGAAAGTGATGAAAAAGTGTTGTATCTATCGGAGTACCTTTAGTGTGAAAACTTGCAACCAATGTCCTGGGGAACCCCAACGTGATCGAGGATTCTGCATTTTGATTGTAGAGACTCCTAAAGCTAAGGCTACCTGCTAGGAACCATGATCAAATTCTGATAGAATTCTCCTCTAAAATTAGATAGACTTGTCCTTTAATAACATGTAATAAAATTTTACTTCCAGAGAAAATGTGCACATTTTTTTCCTGTTCCTGTGGATTTCATAAAGTTTTGTTCAACCCAGATAGTCTGTATTGTTTCCCTGAGAAGTAATCTCCAGGGGACCGAAAAAAATGCTGGTTTCATTATCGCGCTAAAGTAAAGTAAAATTGAGTAGTAAGAATGAGACTTTCAGGGCAATTTTAGAGAGACAAGAATATGCATTTTATAGACCTGAAAGGAATTTTTACAGTTTGTCATACGGTATCATGAAGACAAGTTATTTTTAAAGCATCCCTCAAAGCACAGGAAAAAATCGGAGAAGCCAACACTAAGTAACTGATATGTAAATATCTGTACAAAAAGACCCAGTTGACCTTCTTTTTGCTGCTAGAAACTTTCTTTTAAAGAACATTGCTGCTGAGATACTTCCCTGTGAGGAGGCGAACGCGGACGGGGGCCTCTCCGCCCACACCTGGGCTCTGGGTGCCACGCCCAGGGAAGGGTTCACCTGGCCTCTCTCTGTCTCCCCTGCCACGGCATCTGGGAACAGGCTGATGTCACCATAAGGATTAGAGGGTCATTTTCACTTTCAGGAAGAGTGTGTGTGTGGGGCGGGGAGGGGAGCTAGAACAGTAATGTGTGCAGTAGAATTAGAGACAGAATTTTGGGTGTAGAACATGAGGATCTGCAGATTGGAGGGCCTGTGCTGAGAAAATGTACGTTTTAGAAGAAAGCCTCGACTCAGGTAAAGATGCAATTAGAGAGAAATCTGGAAGATGTGGTATGTGGCTGGAGTGAAAGACAGCATTTGATGTCAGCAAAAGTCAGAATTTGTTTGCTATTGAGCTGTTCACCTCAAACCTGTGGAACCAGCGCAGAGTGTGGTGGCCCTTCAGGTGACATGGGGGGAATTAGGGACCTTGAGGGCAAATATTTTCCAAAGGCCCATCTCCTCCCAGGAGGGGTCCCCGCGGAGACCCAGGTGCTTTCAGGGGCCTTCGCGCCGGGAGTTAGCCCGGCTGCTCCCCGGGGCGGGGGGGTGGACGGGGTCACAGCAGACTTCTCCCATTTCTCGGGGCTCACAAGAGGAAACTCTGACCCAGAACCCCCCAGAAAACATCGCTAAGCTGCACGTTGAGAATTTCTTCCTGGGAATGTGGGAGTCAGAGAAGCAGAAACACAGTGACGAGGCCAGGGTCCTTGTCCCGGACTTGTAAGAGTCGGCGAAGGGGTCGACGCAAGATGAACAGTGTGCGGTCAGACTTGCTTTCCTAGCCGCTGAACACGGTACCCCGGGGGGGAAGGGCGTGTGGATGGACAAAAGCCAGTGACTTAAATGGTTAATAATGTCAACACAGTCTCTTCGGCAGACTTGTGAACACGTGTACTGTATTTTATTTATTTTGTTTCAAACAAACCAGTCAATAATTTTGCCCACTGCACCCGAACTAGGAGAAATGCTCTCCAGAGTAATAGAGTGCAAGTGTACATTCATTTTACTCCTGTAAAAGGACTGGACGCTATAGATTTTTCATAAGTCTTTAAGGAAATGACAGGAGAGTGCTGTTATTCTGAGCGATATGACTCTTTAAATATGTTTTAGCAGCCCGAGTCTCGGCTACTTCTCAGTACATCAGGAAATGAGCCAATCACCCTGGAGTAACTGGAGCTCAAATCACTCCTTAATTCTCAAAGTATTTTGACATCTTTTAAGTATGGTAAAGTTCTGTGGAAAATTAAGTTCTAATTTTATCTTCTGAGAGCATGCGGTGTGATTTGTTTGCAGTGCAAATCACATGTTGTGATTATTTAATATAGGGGAAAAAAGTTACAAACAAATCCACAGCCAATATGAGGTGGACTTCAGGAGGTCTGCGTGGAGACCCTTCCAAAGCTGCTGATGTCTGGGCCCGAACAGGCCAATTTCTCTCAAGCAGCCTTGTAGGAACACCACGCCGACGTGGCTTTCTGTTTGATAACCACTTCCTCTGACATTCACGAGCGTGCAAAAAGCAGAGTCGAGTCCCTCCTGTTAGAACTTTGAACATCTGTTGTCCTTTAGGGAGGATTCTGGGGGCGCAAGAGATGGCGGAAAGGGTTGGCCAGTCTAACTTATTAATGAATTTATCACAAAGCATGTTATTCACAATGTGTCTGTTCGCAGAATAAAAATAACTCTGTTTTCAATTCGGTTCCAGTAGGTGAGGGCATTTCTTTATGTTAGGTACTTTAAAAGGCAAGTGCCTTTTCCGAATCAAAAGTATTTTCTGTATGTGTGTGTGTGTGCGCGCGTGCGCACGTGTGTGCAGAAGGTGAGTTATGCCCTCTTTACAGTTGCTGGTGCGCAGTGCTCAGAATCAACACAAAGTGCTAATCTGGTAAAAAATGAGAAACACTGAGAGATAGCAACATGCACTTTTGGCAGAAAAGGCTGTTGGCTCTATAACGACCTGTTGCCCTTGCCGTTGCCCACACTTCAGATAGCTCCTAAGCACGCGAGAACTGTGTTCATGAGGGAGTGGACCAGAAACGTTCTCTTAGCCACTCAAGTAGTATGCAGTCACAAACTTTTTTTTCAGAACGACTTATAAAAGTAACATTGGAGAACCCTCACTTTTACGATCATATAATTTTCTGTAACTATCCATGCCCATAATTTTAAACTCTTAATTCTTCCCACACGATGCCGTCCAAGCATCTCAAAGGCATGACTTTTCTGGGCCAAGATTCAGGACCCACTTTTTGTTTGCTCTGAACTCATGGACTCTTCCAGGGTGGCCCTCGCTGGTTTGCTGGGACTGACCGACAAACACCGTTCGGGGCAGTGCTTACCGTGATTGCAGGCCCAGCAAAAGCCAGGCTGAGCAGCATGAGGAACGGAATCGCCTCCTGGGTGGGTTCAATGTAGGGCATGCTGAGGCTCCGGTCATAGCAGCTGAATCCCGAGTGCACAGGCTTGAAGACATCCGTGAGTTCAAGGAAATACAGGCTCACCACCGACGATGCCAGGATGGGCAGCTGAGGAGGAAGCACAGGGGAGAGCGAGTCACTCTCACACCCGCTGCAGAATCTGTACACCTGGGAGTGGGGAGCGCACGCGTTTCCCCTTTCTCTCACCACTTCTTGCCAGTCTCAGAGGTAAACCCATTCCTAAGTTCCACTGCTTCTGCCTTCAACACGTGCCTCCCGGGCGCTGCCTCGGTCACCAGGCTGCTGTGAGCCCCACGCGCTCACTCACCTTTGCTCTCGGGGGCTCCGGCCTGGACTTCCGGTTCCACATTCACCTGCTCACCGCGCGCAACCATTTCTACCCATCGCCCCAAGGGGTCTCCTGACAATATTTTAGGACAATCCCTTCCTATCTCAGCCACTCTAGTGGTGTCCATCCTGACCCAGGTGTCACTTCAAGTATATGCTTCTACATGGCCTGGCTGTAGTTTCAATTTCTTCCATCTTCTTGCACCTGTTTATACCAGCCCCCAGCTCCCTGCCCACCTCAGTCCAAGTGCTCTTTTTGCTCGTTTTCATATTGAGATATAATTGACATGTAACATTATATTAGTCTCAGGTATGCAACCTAATGACTTGGTATTTGTCTATATTGCAAAATGATTACCACGTAGGTTTAGCAAGCACCCATCACTACACAAAGTTACAAATCTTTTTCCCATATAACGAGAGCTTTCAAGATCTATTCTGTTAAATATACAACGTAGTGTTATAAACTATAGTCTCCACGCTGTACATGACGTCCTCAGGACTTATGTGTCTTATAACGGGAAGTTGTAACCTTCAACCCCCTTCACCTGCTTTGCCCACCCCACCCCCCTCCACTGGCAACCACCACTCCGCTCTCTGTTTCTGAGTCTGGCTTGTTGTTCTGGTTCTAGGGTCCACATACAAGGAACATCATATGGTATTTGTCTTTCTCAGTATGACTTATGCACTTAGCATAATGTCCTCCAGGTCCCTCCATATTGTCACAAATGGCAAGATTTCCTTCTTTTTCATAGCCTAATAATATTCTATTATACGGATGCACCACATTTTCCTCATTACTTTATCTATCAATGGACACTTGGGTTGTTTCCATGTCTTGCTTATTGTCAGTAATGTTGCAGGGACGATGCTGGGGTACAGATCTTTTCTAGTTGGCATTTTTGTTTCCTAGAGGTGGCCTCACTGAATTGTATCACAGTTCTACTTTTAATTTTTTTGAGAACCCGCCATGTTTTTTCCACGGTGGCTGCACCAATTTGCATTTCCACCAACAGCGCACAAGTTTTCCCTTTCCTCCACGTCCTCACCCACACTTATTTCCTCTCTTTTTGATAATAGTCATGCTAACAGTTGTGAGGTGGTACCTCACTGGTTTTGATTTGTGTTTCCCTGAGGTGGCTTTGATTTGAGAGATACTTATCCTAAAAATTATGTGTTGTTTATCTGAAATTCTAATTTCACTGGATATTCTCTAGATTGTGTGGTAAACCTAAACTAGACACAATTTACTTTCTAGACCTTGTGTAATCAATTCAATTATTCATCCAATCAACCTACCACCTGCTGGGACCTATGTGGGTGCTAATTATAATGTAGCAAACAAGACAAAGGCTTGGCCATCAAACGTCATAAGCTTAGTGAGAGATCTGCCTCCCGTTCAAGAGAAAGTACCACTAACACATCATCCGCTGCTGCTGAGCTTTCAGAGCCTGCAAGTGCGGACATACATAACGCTCAAAGAATTGTTTAGTTTGAGGCTTTGTTACTTGGGGAGGATACAACATTTAACAAAACACAGCGGGTTTATGCTTTTTGTGTTTTAGATAAAGACATTATTGACCATCCACAATTTCTGGTTGCGTGGCTTAAAAATAAATAGATTGACAAGACACCACTGTGCCTTCTGTTCCCAAGAGGATCTTGTGCAACGAGGTGACAGTTAGGTACTAACCCTGCAGTAAAACCAGTGGGTCACATGGTTTTCAAGGCCTGTGGGAGGTTCTAATATCGGCTTTTCTACTCACTACCACCGGCGCGACCTAGGAAGTGTTTCTCTTAGGTCTCAGTCTTCTTATCTGTGACAGAGGTACATTGGTGGCACCATTGCCACCAGCAGTTGAAGGCGTAAAGCATTACAAGTAATGTTCAACAATACCTGGAATGAGGACGAGTTTATCACGGTTAATATTATTACTGCTGTTGTTGCTGCGATTGTAACTATTAGCAATAATACACTTGTCAAATGTCAGCTCTTTCCTAATGCCTTACCTGGCAACTCTTTTTGAGGGTAATTTCCTCCTTCTTAATTCCCTAGTACTTCTTTTTAGGAAATGATTATACACTGTTCTTTGTTAGTGTTCTCTGTTATGGATTAGTTATAGTCTTTGTTCTGCTTCCCAAACAAAAAATCTCCTAAAGGCATGGGGCTAATCGTACTCATTTCTATAATTCTACTATTAATATACAGCACAGTGACTTCTAAGTATAGATGTACATATACATATAATAAATGAACGTATGGGTGAAAATAATTTTCTTAACTAATTTTATGCATCTTACTCCTTTTAGATACTAGTTTCTTGAAACTGATAATTTTTCCCGTGATACCATTTTTCTATCCATGTATTAATATCTTTTTATTTGTTTTCAAACTAGGAATCACATGTTTTTTCCTTTTTGATGTTCATTTCTCTGATTTTAAAAAATGTATCTTTTACTTTGTCTTTTATATCAGTTTTGTTTTAGGGTTATTTCTACAAAATATTTATACTATATGCGAAAAATAATTTTATACATTGTTTTCTTATACTGGACAGTGTAATGAAATTACAATGTTTACTTCGCACATATTTATCTTCAAAAATACCTTTCATCTTTGAAATGTTCAAAAGCAGAACTTTCTTTTGAGTGTAAGAAATGTAACAGATGGTATGTGCTAATTCTGGCATAGATATATAAATAATACAGCCACATAGACATCTTTCGATTGCACTTAAAATGAGATTTTAAAAGATTTAGAAAAGTTTATGTAATCATGCATTAGAAATTTTATTCTTTAGTTCTGTTGTAATCAAGAAAAATGTATGAACTACAACTGTTTTCATGCACTAATACAGAGGACGGAAATTACCTGAAGATGAGAAAAATGGTTTCAAAGAGAAAAGATTGATTCTTATAATTACCATCTGTTAAGGAACCTTTGAGTAATAATTATAGAGCAATTTTTAAGAGAAAATTATAACAGTTTTAGAGAACAGGGCAAACAAAAGAAATGTGTTCCACAAGATTACATTTGCTAGATAATACTGATTTTTTTTATGCCAATTTTAAAAAGCCAAATCTACAGTCCACATCCATTGGACTGAAACATTCTATGGAATCTACCATGGCTTTTTGCTTAGGTCAAATCACTTACTTATTTTTAGCATGTTGATAATAAGGAAAACTTGACTTCTCCTTTGAGAGCGTTCACTTTGCTCTCAGTCTAGAGCAATACGGGCCAACCCCATTCTTGTTCTTTGTCACAGCCGTGGTGAATCCGGAGTCTCTGAGACCCTCCTTGGCTGGGCGGTCATAGTCACAAGGGGCCGATTAGCATATGTGATATTCATGGCTCGTTTGTTTATTAATTGAACAAATATGAGCTTCCTAGAGCCCAGCATTGACCTATGTCCTGCCACTGCAACTGTGATCAAAGGAAGCCTTTCTTCTCATGAAGACCTCTTTCTTGCTGAGGAAGATACAAGTTTTAAAGTTACTAGTGCACCTTCTCTAAAGAAGAGAAAACGGGCTGTGGGAAGCGAGTGCCTGGGCGGCTAGATCGAGGAAGACCCGCCTAAGTGGGTGTCATTTAAACAGAGACTTCAGTCGGTGACAGCAAACTAACCACGTGGAAACCAGGTCAAAGCCGCAAACTTATTATTGTTATTATTATTTTTGACTATTTGTGCAGTCAAATGCAAATACAAAGCCGTAAGCAGCAGCGTGGTAAGAGGACGTCGTCAGAGAGCTGGATTTGGGACTAGATTTCGCAGAGCATTGCAAGCCAGGCAGAAGTTAGTATTTTATTCAGAGTATGTTTGGCAACGCTTTGGAGATCTTAAACAGAGGCATAGTAAGACTCGAAATACATCGTACAGAGATCGCGCTGGCAGTAGGCCTGAGGGGGGTGGTGGGTCAGAAGCCGAAGCCAGGCGGGAATTCCCGGGGCTCTTCAAAACTCGACAAATGCTTATCGCAGAGAGCACGTGCCGGGCTCGGCTCTGAGCGGCGGTGCAGAACCGTGAGCAAAGCCAGAGAACGCCCTGCGCTGACAGAGCTTGGATGCTGTGGGGGGCCTGGTGATCGCAGTAACCAGGCAGGACGGGGCGCGGCTCTGCCTCGCGTGGGTGCTGGAGACACAGAGGGGGCGGCAGGTTTGGGTATCGTGCTGGGGACGGGAATGAAACGCCAGGACTTGTTGACGAGCAAACTGTCAAGGTGATTTCAAGGACTGGGGGCTTAGTCAGCGGGGCCGGCGGTGTCACCTCCTGTGACGAGGAAGGCTGGGGGACGCTTGAGTGGGGGCAACGGAAGGCTCTGTCTCGTAGTGGTCACAAGGTGAATGTCGGGGTAAGAGCCCCCCAGGGTCTGGAGCGTCCGGGGCGCGGCTGTGAGCCAGGACACAGGCGATGCAAACAGCAGCCCCTCGCCTTTGATGGACGACGCTTGCACCAGACACTCCGGAGTTCAGTTGCCTTGGCTTTGTATAAACAATGGCAGAGGAAGTCAGAGAACGGGCTTATGTATATTCATGCCACTCATACACAAAAGATAAGCTAAGAGGAAAAGAACGATTTTTATATTAACAGCAAATTTAAAATGGGGCGTTGGGAGCCAATCCGCACACGTGTCCCAAAATGGTTCAAACGTGGAATTTAAAACACTAATACAACACATTGAAATGCAATTCAAGCTGGAAGGAATAGTGGTGGATCGGAGTCACTTTACTGAAGTTTGTGGCCAGTAGGCTGTTCATT